AGGACAGGACATTCAACTGCTGGTCAAGACACCACTCATCATACACCAGTCAGCATACACCACTCATCATACACCACTCGTCATACACCACTCAACATACACCACTCATCATTCATCACTTGTCATACACCCCTCATCATACAAGACTCATCATACATATTCTCAGAGTTCAAGACAGATTTTACATTCAAATTCGGATTCCATTCAGTCCGATGTGTGATATGCAAGGTTTGCCGCCACTGAAGAATGCCACGGTGGGATGTGTGTCGATGTGGACCGCATCCTTGGCAAGTCGTGGTGGCCGGATGTGTGTCATCTCTCGCAGGGGGCACACACACCTTACACACGTGGAATCCCGTGGGTCAAAAGTCCGGAGCGCGTGCGTTTGACTGGAGGACGCGCATGTTGGAGAGAACGTGGACACTCCTATAGGTCAATTTCTTCTTATAGGAAACTTCCGCCGCCGGCTTGCCCGGGAACTACTTGTATAAGTTATAACTATAACTATAACACAGTATAACAGTATAACAGTATAACTATAAATACATCTATAATTTCTGCAGTACACGCTTCAGGCAAAGTCCATGATTTACTCGAATCAAGTCGTCCTGAAAGAGCTGTGTCATGCCGTCACGGCATCCAGGATGGCTCCCGCTCCTCCTGCTCCTCTGTTTTGTTTGGAGGAAGACTTCCCCCAAAACTGATGAGCAAACGAAGCACGCTCAACTTTTCTGGTGGATCCATCTTGGGGAATTCCTTTTCGGGAGACTCTTCGCGATCAAACCCAAGAAGAAGCCCTCCTGTTAAGAGGTGCGACTGCCGCCCCCACCTGCAGGGCACTCGGCGGTCGCCCGGCGGTCATCCCGCGTCGCCGACCAGCCACTCTTCACCACGTGCTCGCTCTGGGCGGGCGCGGACGAGTCGTGCGGGTGTCAAAGCGGTGGTTTCGGGGGAGAGGAGGACGGGGGTTGCACAGCGCACAGCTTCGAAGACAGGAGATGATGGTGAGGGGTTCACCGGCGTTTTTGGGGCCTAGGTGAGTCTTGATCCATGGTCTTTGCTTGGTGAAGAAAAGCGTGCTGCGCAAGCAGGCATCCAGTTCAAGGCCTAAGAGTCCTAGAGTTCCAAAAGCATGAAACTGCATGAAACTCCTAGCGGTGCTCAGCTCTCTGAAAGCCCTCAGCTTTGAAAGAGACGTGGAGTCAAGAGCAACTGGAAGACTCGACGCCGTTGCGGTTCTAAGTTCAGATGCTCGTGGCCGCCACGAAGAACATTCGTCGTGTCAATGAGGACAAGCGTTGCTGGCCGATGTCATCCCCGGGATCTTTTGAGTCGACGGAGTTTTGATCCAAAGCCCAGGTCTATGAGATGATTGCAATCTAATTACTTACTGCAGAAAGTAAGACAGGCCTGTTGGGAGTACTCCCTTGGGAGGCCGACTATACCCATGTACTCCCAACAGGCTCATCTATATTGCACGGGGCATGGCACCCCCCAAGAGGTTCGTGAGAGCCGTGAGACCTCGCCTTGCACTCTCGGCCAACGATGACAGAGCCGCCGTGGCACGTGCTGCAATGGTTGTGGGCCTGACGTTCGTTGGTCTGATGCACTTCGGCGCGAACATGGGGTGAGGATTTCGGTGGCCCCTTGGTGGTTCCCAAAGTTTAGAAGCAACTTTCAATACGGCTGTACATCAAGAAGCAGGAAACTTGGGCTTCCGAAAAAGGATTCGTTGACCTCTCCGGGAAGTCCATGTTGAGGACTCCAAAAGAGAGCCCCACTCACGAGAAGACGACCACCACTTGCAGTTCAAGTGTCAACTGATTTAAGGTATAAAAACAAAAAACTCTCGAGTTCCTGGTGCCTCCCAACGCAAGAGGAATGTGTAAAGTTGGAGAATGCAAGAAGTATTTGAAGATGAAGAATGCTGCGTACTGCTCCGAATGCGCTAGCATACTTGAGGATGGCATGTTGAAGTTGGACAAATCTTTCTTCGCTATTGGACCAAGCATCCTACGTCACACCCACCTACCTGATGGATGCCAAACAGCTGGGCTGGGCCAAAGGTTCCTGAAATAGATTTGAATGACAACAAATGGAAAAAGGGGAGGCTGAGGTACCTGAATATCCGATACCTTGGGAGAGCCGTAGATCAGAAACACGGCTCAGTTTGCTCCACTTCAGGTTTCAGTGGAGGATCTCCTTTCAAAGAAAACTCCTGAGGGGGGGGGCGTTCCCCCCATAAGACCCGTGGAAAAAGGATTGAGGATCCTCAAAATTCACCACTGCACTATGGTTTTTGCAACGAGACCAAATGGTTTCCCCGTTCCGGTGAAACGTGAAGGTGCCGGGGCCTTCCGCTGGGCTTGATCCACGCAGGTGGCACATTTCTTGTTGTCGCAGTCATAGGCCTGCGGTGATGTTCATCTGCTGGTTGGCCAGTCTGGGGCCACTTCATCAGTGGATCTGTTTTAATCTGTAACTCATCCGGGACTAAATAGAATAGGATAGAATAGGAGGATATCCAAGAAACAAGGCGAAACTGAGCTTCATGCCTTCGGGTTGGTTCATACTTCATCTGATTCTATCTAGTCCATGAATGCTTGCAACATGTGAGAGGGATCTTTCCGCACACCTTCGAACCACACCTTCGTACCACCCCCCCCGCCATTTTTTGATTCGGTGCTTCCTTCGTTCTTCACCAGAAGTGGGGAACCAAAAACAACGGAAGAAGGAGACCTCCCAGTCCAAACCCCCTGGAAGCTTCACCAGTCTACCCCACCGAGAGGTCAGGGCGAGATGCCGGAGGCTGACCATGGACGAAGTGGGTCCCGTCGCTCCTTGTGATTCTACGCCACCATGGGCGACCCAGGTTGGGGACATGGACAGGTCTGCATTGTGTCCAACCACCACGCAGGCCGGACGCGGTTTCTCGAGGTCAAGCTGGTCCCCTCGTGGGGCAGCCCGTCTTGTGCATGACCAGGATGGAAACCGAGGAGATCAGGTGGAAAATTGATTGTGACCTTGGGTCCTGCACCAGCCCTATAAGTATAGGTCAATCGCAGGAACCAGTCCCTTTTTCTGCAACGCTTCAGCAGCACCAACCAATTTAAAGCAAGTGTGGGTTGACCACCAACCACTTCAGCATGCTAAAACTCTGACGCAAAAATATCCACAAAGCCACAATCACTCGATGACCCCAAACTCCAAAGGACTGATTAGACTCTATTCCAATTCATCCATTCAATTTCATCCAAGTGATCGGAGGAACGCCCCCAGTACCACGGTGGTATATATTTGGATGGTGTCCATCACCAGAGAAGCGCAGGGCGCCTTGCAAGTAGTGCCGTCCAGGTAGTAGCCAGCATTGCAGCTCGTGCATTCGTTGTGCTTCTGCGCAGGGCGGCTGAAGGCTGGTCAGGGAGGCTTCAGAAGGGCGGTTCTCGTTTGAATCTCATTGGGCAGGAGGCGGGTTCTCTGGTTCTCTTACAATACCAAACGCGCCATCCAGAGGGTCCTCCTTTCTGGCACGCGAACAGTGCCACCCACAGGTTCGATCGGAAATGACCCAGTACATCCTGAAACACGCCCCAGAATACAGGCATGGAACCTGAAAACCACCGGTTTGTGGAGGAAGCTAGTCTTCTGGTCCGTTCTCAGGTTCCATGTGGGTCTCTTCCCAGGTGGAATCATGGTTACGTGGATGTCGTGGCCCCTTGGTGGTTCTCCACTTCCATGGAACGTGACTCCGAGTTTGCGGCACTTCACCACAATCTGTTGAAAGCAACCACAATTCAGCTTCTGAAAGGTCACGACCAACCATACGCCCAGAAAGCAAACATCGCCAAAACGCCAGAGAAGAAGAAGAAGAAGAGAAGAAGAAGTGGACCTACCCAAAAAAAAGATCCCTTGTGGATCCGCATCTGTGCGCCTCTCGCTGCGATGGAACCGGGCAAGACTTGCAGAGCTCGCCGCTGCCGGTCTTGCAATTGAAGGACTGGCCGAGGCGAAGCCGGCGAAGCCCACCGTTGCCCACCGACCCAGTCCATCCACCGGTCCGGTCCGACCGGTCCAAGGCGTGTATGCCTAGATCCAAGACCCCCCCCCACGTCTTGAATGACTCAATGAGGCCATCCGGAGTTATTCATGTTATTCATGTTCAGGGCTCTGAAGAGGTTGACACCAACTCCTGAGTTCAGTACCCACGCAAATCATCTGTTGTCTGTTATATCATGTTTTAGATTATACATATTGTAAACCTTGCAAAGGACGAGTGAACAAACACAACCACCACTAGTACAGCGAATCAAAGATAGCACTAAACAGCAAAAACATGTTCACAGACTTATATCAATGCTACCTCAAACGTCCTCAAACCTCGAATGAATGTTTAAAAAGACACATCCCATACAACCACTTCCAGCCGTCCAACCCGGAAGGAAACGAATCGTTGGGGCCTTCAGAACGGTGAAGACCGCTTCCTCCCAGCCGGAGCTTGGAATGTCATCCCCATCCTGCGTCTCCGCCGCGATGGACGTCGAGGCACGTCGATGGACCGAGGTCGGGCCATTTCTGCTGGCCGGGCCTAGTATGATGGAAAGCTCTTAGTCTGAGGCAGTTGACTCCCTATTGGGCGGAACATCTAGAATCTAGAAATGCTCTCAGATCGGTGATGAATGGGATTGATGTCTTCCAGCTAGCGAAACCAGGCTGGTAGGCGGCCGCATGTGTCAGCTCACTTTCTCCCTCGTGGCATGCTCCGTCACCGCGAAAACGAAGAATTCGAACGACTTAACGAAATGTAACACCCACATACACCCACAAGGTCCCCTTTTCAGTGGTCCCGCGGCAAACATGGAGACTTCGTGCCCTCTACGGACGCTGGTCGAGCGCCGGCGAACGTTCTACCCGCCCGTCCTTGACGCCGCTGCGTTCCATGTTGCCCGACGACCTCATCGCCAGAAAGCCTGCAGGATCCGGGTTGGGGAGCCATCGACCGCGCGAAGACCTTCGGCCTCCAGCCGAGCCCGTGCGCTCGCGACGGGACCCGCACAGACCAGCGACGATCGTTCTGTGCGGGTCACGGTTCAAGGTCGACGACCGTTCAAGGTGTCTGATTTCAGACCGTTTTTGATATGGTCATTCTCCCTTCCGGCCTGGACTACTGAAGCTTCCTGTTCAACTTCAAATTCTCAACTCACGGATGCTCAAAACATGTTGACATTGTCAAAAGATGTCAAAAGGGACTGACTTATCCTGTCCCAAAGTTTTCCTAGGTCCTAAAGAACTGTTGTAGGCCCACAATCAACCCACACTATTTTCGTGCTTTCGGGCCAAGCAGCGATTGTACTTGGCATTGTGCAGGGCAATCTTCCCGCTTCCCATGTCCACAGCGGTAAACTTGGCCTGTTCATGTAATGTCCCAGAGGCGAGGATGCATCAAGTTAAGATCATCAAGAATGTACAGAGGCAGAGGCACAGGCGGAGGATTCCAGTACCCGACTGACGCTGCCATTGACAGAAGCTGTCTTCCCTTCAAGATAAACTCTACACCATTGAAAAACTCTGCATTTGAAATATCCTGAGGGGGACTTGATCCGGAGCTTGATGAGTGCCTATTTGACTCATGCATCAGTACAGTACCTGTAGCGAAATCACTGTACCTCTACAGAAATGGACCCTGCCTGGTCGTCCAGGGTAGAGCTTGGCGACACATCCTGCTGGGTCCGCTAGTGAGCAGCTTTTCAAGAGTGGATCCGCTGGGTCTGCACATCCCACCGATTGCATGTCTAGTGTCTGTTTTGTCACATTGTTTCTACATACATTCTTTGCATTGTACAGAGTAAAATACTTGTGCTGGATCTTTGTAGACATGCTAAAGCAATGCCCACATGTGAGCAGCAATGAAGCGGCAGCTGGTAGAACTCCCGGCAGTCCGTTCCGGTCATGCTGACATATTTCTTGGCTCTCTCGTTGTAGAAGGCAAGTTGTCCATTGCCACCATCCACCACCTGAGACCATCCGTTTAAAGAATCCGTCATGGTGTTTTTGTCCACCTGGCATCTAGGGGACATATCCAATCGATGGAAGTCGGCCGAAGGACTTCGTGACAGACGTCTTAACATCCGGATAGCAGGGGCTCCTGGCCATACTACTAGTAGCAAGAAGCTACTAGGAGCAAAGGGCATTACTACTAGTAGCAAATAGCTACTAGTAGCGATGGCCTCCAACCTAATAGCGATGGCCTCCAACCTAAGAACGCACAGGTCCGGCTTCATGGAAGGAATTCTCTGAGAACCCATTCAGACCCCCAGTCTGAGTGAGTTGGGGTCGCCACAGAAGCGGCCGGCAACAGAAGCCATACACGAATCCCAAGCCTTCTGACTGCTTCGTCTAAATACTAAGGCACCTAAAACCAGCCCAAACCTGCAGTATGTAGGTAGATGACCCATCCATTTTGGAGCTATGGCGAACCCCTAAACCTCTCACCCGACCCACCCGGCAGGATGGCCCACCTTGAGTGGCACACTGTACCAGCCCGGATTGAAATCATCCAGCTTGTCAGAGTGTCCCTGCATGCGGTTGTGGATCATCTGCACAAAGCCTGGCATGAAATTCTTGGATCATCTCTGCAAGAGAATCTGGCACCAGCTGTTTTCCCAGACGAACCTGTGCCGTGTCAACGGATGCCAATCGACGTATCTACGGGGGGGCTGAACCTTGCGACATCGTGTTTCGCTCCGACATCGTCCAAGCTCTGACCGAGTGTGGGGGGCTCTGACATCGATGAGGTCCTTTTGGGGAAGAATATCGTGGTCCATTTGGGACCACAAGATACCTATAGATTGGTTGTTCACCTTGGGGTATCCTTTCTATTACTGTATGTGTATATATATATATAAGTATATGTATATATATATATGAATATATTAATGTATATGTACATATATATATATAATTACAATCAACCAACCATTTCCCTTCAGTCCACCGGTCCGAGGTGCGATTGTTCTGTCCACAGTGGAGCGCGATGATGGTGCCCAAATCGAGATTCGGGATGGCCTCAACGGTCGCGGAAAAGCCGGTAACGCGCGGAACTCCAACAGGTCGGACAACTCCCAACGGGGCATGCGACCCAACGGGGCTATGGCATGCTATAGCTGCTTCAATTGGGATTCTTTCCTTCGGATGGCATATCTGTGAAGGTGTCTCTGAGCAAGGCTACAAGCTACAGCTTGAGGAAACGCGGTTGTACACGGCCATCCCCTGACGCCATGAAAAGCATCTGCCACCGGCGGCACTCTGTATGCTCCAAACTCCACGTGCACAGTAGGTGGGAAAGGGGCATGATGACCCGGAGATATCAACAATCGCTGCAGTCGCCACAAAAGTTGGACGAAGAAAGACTCTGGGGTTGCAATGCAACATGGTTTTGCATTCAGTCCCCAGCGCATCATTTAGTAGTTGTACATCGGACATTCCGATGTGTTCCTTGCGCTGTATTCTGCCTCTCTTCTTTCTCTCTTTATTCCTTCTTAGAACGTGGAGATCCACATCTTTGGTGCCGACAACGACTGCGCAGAGTTTCTCTTTCCTTGATTTTTTGTTGGGGCCAACGCGCCCCGGATGGAGGCGTTTTGTCGGGGCTTGGTCCGATGAATCCGATGTATCCGACTTCATTTCTTCTCTCTCTTCTGTGCCTCCCACCAAACAGAGCCTCAAAACGGTGGGAAAAAAACTGGTTTCTGATGATTCAGACCATTCATTGTGGAATCGGGGACCAAAAATCTCTGAAATTGGGCATGTGAGCGCTCATACCGATCTGGCGCATCGCTGGATACATATGGAATCGCTGGCAAAGCACCGCGCTCCAATTTGTGGTGTTCTCACCACATTGCGAAGGAACCACCGTGCACACAGAATTCCTGATAGATTTCCATCGCAACACCCTGAACTAAGCAGCACACCAGCTTACACCGGCAATCAGCAGTCAGCCACTGCAGTCAGCCACTGCATGTTTTGCTGCAGAGCTCATCGTGTTTGGACACAAGATCTCACGCCCCTTTGGTTGCTTCTTCTTTGGTGTATTTACTTTACCGTTATATATATCTATTCACTATGTTTTTTTGAAATCAATATTGATATTAAAAGGAGTATCGATATTTCTATAGTACAGTATATTCGTTATATTACATTATACTACATCGAATTAACCTACTATATCATATCATATACATAATATCATATATGTCTGTATATAATTACATCGGATTACATCGTGTTTGTGTGTGTCACCCCCTGTACCAAAGGGTTCAATGCCACTGTTTCCATTACCACCACTTAACAAGGCAGGGGGCCCATGGGCACATGGATGGCATGGGCCAACGAAGACCCATCCATGTTGCCGTGAAAACGTACCTGCTGGAAAACTTTTGAGCAAGCTGTTCCAATCCGTCCTTTTTGATTCATGGTGGTTACATGTCTTCATCCCATAAACATTTCCTTTGTCGTCGTCAGCTGCCGCGCGTTCGTGAACTGCAGATGTGCACAAACCATTTGTTGAAACATCTTCAAGTGCTCCGACCTTTTCACCTTTCGGTTCCATCACCATTTTTCCTGGCAATTGAGTTAACTGAAAACCAATGTCAGAGTGTGAGCCGCTCAGTCTTCCCACTTGGGCGCTGGGTGTGATCCCCTTCAGTGGGGCGCTGAATTCACGCTGGAAATCGTGTAACGGATTTACTTTCTCCACTGATTACCCTTCTTCACTTTCATAACTGAATTAACGGAGTTTCAAGCCGCCGGGCTATAAACGATGGAATTCCTTTGTGACAGACTGAATCAGTCTGCAACATGCCGCTAAGTATTCACCAGTCCATGTCACTCTGCTAAGTATTCACAGGCCGGACGAATTAATCGTGCACCCCCTCCCTGCCCCTGGGCCTCCTCTGCTATCCCACCCGCTACTGAGCAACAGAAGGAAATCGCACTCAACACACTTGTGTGTTGGTGCCTTTCCTTCTGTTTCTCCTAGTCTATTGCTAGCTACCCGGGCGGTGTAAGACGAATGTCCCTCTCGCAAACTACTTTCGTTTAACCGTTTAACTAAGTGGGCCTCGTAACTACCCCTATCTTTCTTTCTTGCCCTCTTAGTCTGCTTTTGTTTTGTTTTGCTTTGTCTGTCTTTCTAAGGCTTTTTAGGTGACTAATAGTTTTTTCGCTGCGCCAACAATTGGCGCTTTCTGCGGGGAGTCAGGACGCTACTGGAGGCCCCTGGCCTCACTACTACTTTGCTAGGGGAGACCGCGCCGAATACGGCTCTGTGTGTGTGTGTGTCACCCCCTGTACCAAAGGGTTCAATGCCACTGTTTCCATTACCACCACTTAACAAGGCAGGGGGCCCATGGGCACATGGATGGCATGGGCCAACGAAGACCCATCCATGTTGCCGTGAAAACGTACCTGCTGGAAAACTTTTGAGCAAGCTGTTCCAATCCGTCCTTTTTGATTCATGGTGGTTACATGTCTTCATCCCATAAACATTTCCTTTGTCGTCGTCAGCTGCCGCGCGTTCGTGAACTGCAGATGTGCACAAACCATTTGTTGAAACATCTTCAAGTGCTCCGACCTTTTCACCTTTCGGTTCCATCACCATGTTTCCTGGCAATTGAGTTAACTGAAAACCAATGTCAGAGTGTGTCCTTGCAGCCCATCAAAGGCCACACCAAAACCGTGGTATTCAAGCTGACGTACCTCACAGAAGTCCTTCCTGTGAACTTCCCCCATTGACTCTTGGGCGAAATCGGTCTCGCCTGCACAACCTTGAAGCCCTCCCATGTCCAGCCACCAGGTAAATCTTTCGCACCCTTTTTGCCACTGGTGTCCTCTCCAAACAAGAACTGACGCACCTTTTTCTACACAAACACAATCACACAAACTGTTTCACGCCACATGTCACGAATGTCACTCTGTCATACTCTGTTGCTATTCCCTGCAGAAACCACGGCAACCCTTCCAACCCTTCAGACCACCAATCAGTCCATGGTTTTCTTACTCATGCGGACGAAGCGGTTGTGCTTCTCGTTGTGCAAGGCCACATTGCCGGCACCAGCGTCCACGAGTCGGAACTTCTCCCAGCTTCCCATGTGGCCAATTCGTCGCATGTCCTGCAGGCAGGTCGTTCGCAGAACATCGCCGGGACGTGCGACGGTTCGGCACGCCAAACATCGGGCCTTGGGGAAACCCCAAGCGTTGTTTCAGCCGTTTGGGGCATTCAGAAGCTGTCTATCCGCGAAGAAATTCCCAAAGTCCGAAACGAAAGCTCCCACATGGTTTGTCTTGTTTCCGCCCGGTCCGCATGGTGCATCATCCAATACCTGAGGCGGAATCGAGCCCTCTTTTGGTCTGTCACAAAATTGCATGGAAAAGGGCCACCAAAGGCAATATAAAATATCTCACACTGCCGTTGTCGCTGACCAAGTGACTGCTTCCGGCCAGAATTGTAGAATCCTACGCGCCCTTCTCCACCCTCCTTGACAACAAATTTCTCTGAACCCCATCCAGCTGGTAGATCATCCTTAGCACAGCTCTGAGCTCGACGAGATTTCGCACGGGTGAGATCGTACGCAGAAAGCATCCGAAGCTGGCAGTTTTCGCATTCCAAGCGTCGGCAGCTTTCGTGGGGCTGCGCTCCATGTCGTTCTTACCAACCCTGAGTGCAATGGCACTGGCAATGACAATAACAAGAGAGGTTGTCTCATCTCTTAAAAAATAAACTACCGTAACAGGCTTCTTTCCCTTTACCGTTTGTTGTTGTTATTGGTGTGTTATCGTCTTCGTGCCTGGTACAAACATCGATGTCCTTGCACAAACGAAGATACCACAACACGGCACTTCTTCCTCATTGTCTTTGAGGGGAGATGAAACACATAGAGTTATCCATGTGCAGTCCTATCGTCTAATTTTCTTCCTTATCATTTTGCGATGGATGGAGCATCCTTCTGGCAAAACGGGCGTATACGAAGACTAAATTTGTGAGAGGGGAGGGGTTCTAATTTTATACTCTAGGGCAACTACCCTCGCTTTGGATTCGAGCTCGCCCTCCATATCCAACATGTGCGTTTCAGTCCAAGCAACTTGATAAAGCGGTTCTGTTTCGCGTTGTGGAAGGCAAAGGTACCACCCACCAAAGCGGACTGCAGTGCGAACACTGGTTTGTTCTCTTGTTCGCATCTCAAGTTCGCATCTGACAAACATCAAATCCATATGTATGACAGCTTCAACGAATGGGAAACATGATGAAAAATGTGCACCCAAAGAGTCGCACTGCGGTCCTTGCAAGTTCCTTCATAGTATGGTTTGCCTCGGCTAGATCTGCAACGCGAAAAAGGCTAGCCGATGCAGGCTGGGTGACCCGCTGTATATATGGGTATCCAGCTCCAAAAAGAGGTGTAAAAAAACGTCGCACCGCGAAGAACCCTGGAAAACGTCGAAAGGCCAGACCAATTCCGCCGCTGAAAAGGGCGATTGAAGTCCCGTCGTGTCTTGGCCAGCGTTTCAGGCGTGGACGGAGCGACCGGGGACGGAGCAGTGGACCAGCTTCGCGGGGCTCACGTTTGCGGTGGAGTCGGCCGATAGATGCCACGAGCCGTTTCGTGCACATTTCGCCCTGGTAGCGTCCGATCGCTCCCAATAGCGATGCTAGGAGCCTAGTCGCTTCTTGTTCCTAGTAGTAAGGCCAGGAACCCTTAGTAGCGTCCGTGCTCCTAGTAGCGATGCCAGGAGCCCCTAGTAGCTTCTTGTTCCTAGTAGTAAGGCCAGGAGC